ATAAACCTCATTATAGGGAATGCATCGATTTGAATGGTACTGGCTCTGAGAATGGCCTTATTAAACAGACTGGGTATTGGCCATGAGGTGATCACATGAAGTGATGCTGAATAATATAACTTCTACTGCTGCTTTCATTTTTACCATAATCAATAACAAATTCCGATTTTTACGCTCGATATTTTCATGTGCACAGAATTGGAATTGGATAAATAAGCCACTTGATGGCTTACTCTATTTAGATCGATAGAGGACACATTTCTGTCTGTATTTATATGATAGACAAGAGTTTCTCCTCCTCCTTTAAGAAGCTGTGGTTAGTAGTGGTTTGTCTCAGTGGTGAATTGACATTTAAACTGATACAGCTTTTGTTAAAATACAGCTGGTAAAGGCGAATCTCACAAAATCTTTTAAGTAGCCCCACATTTCAATTCTCGTTACTTGGGCTTTGCACCTCCTGCCAACACATACTGTCACCCAATCCCGCCATGAAAACTATAAGCCACTATGTGCTTCTCACAGTGGCCAAAGTCATGTAACTCAAGATCATCATTGTTTTCAGATATTTTTTTTTTTTTTTTTTTTTTACAACATGGGAAGAGGATGATGAAAAAAAAAAGTAGATAAAAAAGATTTTATAAAAATATTACATGTATAACCACTAGCTTTTTTAGTTATTAGTTAGCACAGCTGCAAACATTACCTGCATCAAGGCTTTGGAAATCCTCTCCAGATGTGCGAAGCCGAGTTCAGCACCACAGAGACGAGTGTCCCAGGACTTTTAAATAACCCAGAAACACATTGAGGAAACAAACAGTTTCTTCTGGTCATCAGAGGTCCTCATCAGTCTGGGCAGGGAGGTGGCCAGAGAGTGGAGATTCTCTGAAAGCACGTCAGTGAAGGTCTGAGGACTGCTGCGTTGACCGGTAACGTCACACTGGCTGCTACAGCTCCGGTTCCTCTGTGATACCTCTCTGAGAACAACCTCACACCTGGAGCAGCAGAGGAGAAAAGAGGAGTTTCAAAATACACCTTGTATAGATTAGTTTGGGCTTCGTTCTTTTCCTCACAAAAAATGTCAATTATAAAAACAGACCTCTCTCTGACTCTGGGCTCCTCATCGTTGACCGCTCCCCACCAGTGCTTCCAGTAGCGGCGCCCACACACTCTCCTAGTGACTGACTACACCTGGCCAGCAGGTGGTCAGCCAGCTCCACCATCTGCAGCCGAACCCTCCAGTGCTGGTGGCGAGCCGGTGCAGGAGACGATCTTCTTCAGCAGCTCAGACAGTCTCCCCACTGTGCTCTTCACCCAGTCCAGTGTCCGATGGACCACCAGCTGCGCATCCTACCAGGTCTGGTGAGGGAGTCTTCCAGGGCTCACTGGCCTGAAGCTGGCATCTTCCAATGACAAGCCCCACAGTCCTGGACCAAACCTGAAATGAGATGATGTGGCAAATCATTGCATTGCATTTGTATTAAGGATATGATCACCATTTATCTTACTTCACAGTTGTGTGGTTAGTTTTCCATCACCTTGCACACAACCTGTATCCTAGCATGTTAGAGAGTTATTCTGTAACGTTCCAAATATTAATGCGACGAACTTATGATAACTGATTAATTATTTGAGCCCCAAACAATCTTGTAGCTTGTGAAAATTACAGGATTTGTTGCTTTTCTGTCTTTTATTGTCATTGTAAATGAAATATCTTTTTTTATAGACATCATGGGTCATCATCAGGGTCAACATGCTGGGGCTCTGGGAACGGGTAACTGTAAGTTTTTACTTCTTTCCAAATTTTTATAGCCCAGACTTATTCAGGCCAATGAAATAATCCTTACTTGAAAGTTAATAGTACATAATAATAACTATAACATAAAAAACATCCATGTATACTTTTTTGGAATTCAGTCAAAAACATGAGCTGAATACATATACCAAGCTATGACGAGAGAGAGATCCGACAATATACGCCACCTTGATCCCTGACTGTCGACGGATCGCATTGGCCTTTGTCTCAGATCTCCTGAGATGATCACTGGCTACAGCGCCCATAGTGATCCCAGGTCAAGAAATGAAGCCATTGCTGCCTATAGCACGCTGGTCCTCTGATATCGGATTACCTCGCTCCTGAGCTGAACAGTCAACACGAGAAGCAAAGGCAGAGAGCACACTTTCGCGCTGCTGCCTGCTACATCGAGATTTTCTCTTCTCTCCTTAAAGCCATGCGTCAGCAGTGAATATGGCCAGCTCCCCAGTTCCGAGCGCAGCTATGATCGGTTTTCAAAGAGTCTAAAGACCTATCTATCACCATAAGACAGCATGAAAGCAGGGCCGTCAAGCACCTCAGCAACAGCATGATCTTTAGCTTCCTCTGATCGTATCTGCAGGTTTCCCAGATCAGTTGGAGAGAGCAGCAGGCAGAGTGCAGGAGTTCTGAGAGGAGTCATGGAGGGCTCGTCCCAGCTCTGGAACACAA